CGGTCCTTCCGCCTTAGCCATCCAAGTAGCCGGAACCCCAGGTGTGCACCACCACACCCGCCTAATTTTTTGGATTTATATAGAGACAAGGTCTTGCCCATTTGCCCTGGATGGTCTTGAACCCGGGGCTCAGGCAGTCCTCTCACCTCGGCCTCCCAAAGTGCTGGGCTGACAGGCTGAGCCACCTACACGGGACCTAAGGTTCTGTTTACTATTCAGCGATTTTACGTGCAGCACCTGAGGTCCAGACAGCGCAAGTCACTTGTCCAAGGCCACACAACCAGTGAGGGCAGAACCAGAATTTTAACCCAGGAGCCCGGGCTCCATGGGGTCAAGTCTGGATTTCATCTGGGACATCAGCAGTAGGAGAAATAGTTGTGGGGGCGTTTCGCTTGTTCCTTCAACCATGCCCCCTCTCCTGGCTCCTCCCTTTCCCGGCTGTGTGATGTGGGCCGACGACTTGACTTCTCTGAGTCTCAGTTTCCCCGGGGGTGAAGGAGCCCGCTCAAAGCCCAGCGTGTGGGCAGGATCAAGCGAATTAATCCTAGGACGCGCTCGGTCAAATTCCATCCCAAGGCCAAGCCGAGGGGCCTGCAGTGGCGACCGCTGGTCAGCAGGGGCCGCTGCCGAGTCTCCGCGCTCCCTAACTGCGCCGCAGCGAGCGCATGCGCAATGGAGCCTGCCTGCAGCGGCTTTTTTTTTTTTTTTTTTTGGTGGCCCTATTTATGGATTTTTTTTTTTTTCCCTATTCCCCACCCTTTAAACCAAGTCTGTGCTTATTCCTGTATTTATTCCAGCAGACCTGGCTGCAGAGGACTTACACTTTCCCGCTTTTCCTTAAACTCCTTCCTCGGTTACAGACATGCCATTAGAATTTTTTGCACTAGCAGCCAAAGTCTTCCCTGGGGAGCAAAATCAACCGCGTCTTTGAGTGAAAACCTCACTACATCTCTGAAACGTTGCAAGGACGAAATAGGCGTAATGCCTATTAGGGAGCCCAACGCACAGTTGGGTGCATTTAAAGATTTTTTAAGAAATTATTATTGTTGTTGTTTTGTAGAGACGAGGTGAAGGCTCGCTCTGTGGCCCAGTCAGGATTCGAACTCTTGGGCTCAAGCAATCCTCCTGCCTCGGCCTCCCAAAGTGCTGGGATGACAGGCGCAACCCACCACGTCCGGTCTTTTAAAAATAAGTATTAGCCGGGCTCAGTGGCTCAGCCTGTAATCCCGAGCTTTGGGAGGCTGAGGTGAGTGGATTGCCTGAGCCTGCAGGTTCGAGACCCGCCTGGGCAACTTGGCGAGCCCTCATCTCTACATAAATCAAAAACTAGCCAGGCGTGGTAGCGCGCGCCTGTAGTTCCGGCTACTCGGAAGGCTGAGGCGGAAGGATCGCCGGAGCCCAGCAGGTCGGGGCTGCAGTGGCCAGGAGTGTGCCACTGCCCTCCAGCCTGGGCAAAAGAGTGAGACTCCAACTCAAAAAAAAAAATTAAAAAATAAAAATAAGTATTAAGGTCGTGTGTGGTGGTACATGTGTGCCATCCCAGCACTTTGGGAGACGAGAGAATTGCCTCAGCCCACAGGTTCGAGACCAGCCTTGGGTAACTTGACCAGACCCCCGTCTCTACGAGAAATCAAAAAATTAGCCGAGTGTAGTGGAACCATGCCTGTGGTTCCAGCTACTTGGAAGGCTGAGATAGAAGGATCACCTGAGCCCAGCAGGTTGAGGTTGCTGTGGCCAGGAGTGTGCCACTGCCCTCCAGCCTGGGCAAAAGAGTGAGACTCCAACTCAAAAAAAAAAAAAAAAAAAAGACTTCGACTTTAAAAAAATAAAAATAAATAAAGTAAGTATTAAGAATGTGAAACCAGCCAGGCTCGGTGGCTCAGCCTGTAACCCCGTGCCTTTGGGAGGCTGAGGTGAGTGG